AATTAATGCACATTTGTAATATATTAAATAAAATAAATTAAAGTTTAATTATTAATACACAAAAGTTTTTATATAATTAAGTATACTATATGAGTATACTATTTAAGTATACTATATAAAAAAATGATTACAGACCGTGTACGACATTCCCCAAAATATTAATTAATGAATAATTTTCGAAAAATGTGGCTTAACTTACTGTAACGACAAGAAATCCGTAAATACAAAACATAATACCGAAATAAAGAAATAATTGTAACAGCGTTAATGTGAAGGTATCTTCGATCATTGCAATAGATCTAAAAGAAAATTTTTAATTGTTATCACATATACACACAACGTAATTCTATACTAAATAATTGTTTCAAATTGTTTCAAAGTGTCTAAATAATATAATTATCATTTATGTTTCTTGAGATTTATAAGAAAATTTAGTTTGTAATGATTGCAAAGCGCGAAAAAAACCATTATAAAATTCAATACATTTACTGACAAAAATACAAAATAATTTGATACGTTAAATATACATATGCATGCTACTGCAAAATTCGATGTGTGTAGTAATATAGAACTAATGTATAAAAATATTTAATAAAAGTAGGATAAGAAAATTAATTTTTGTCAAAATTTAATCAATTTTAAAGTAAAAATACAAAGACATGTGTCATTTGTAAAAAATTTTTGATAACATTATTGCGCAATAAGATTAATGCAATTTATTTCAAAATTAAATATAATGCGTGATCAATTTTAAACTGTGAATATAAATGATGTATTTGCGTTACATTAAACGCAAAAAATTTAATGTTTTTGTTCCAAGGAAAACGCAAATTAGGAAAGATTGACAAGATAACATATTCGCATAAATTCAAGTCTTGATGATTTATCAAAAAAAACGGTTGTGTGATACATTTATCGCGCAACGCACTGCTGGATTTGTCGTATGTGTAACTAATATGATTAACGAAATGTGTCAATATGCAAATTCACTAACTGCGCAAGGCATATTGTGAGAACAAAACCTGATAAGCCGTATATGATCCATGACATTGTTTCTCAGAGCCGCGATGAAGTTTGTTGGATTTGCGCATCC